AGTAATCAAAAAATAGTCAGGGGACCATACTTTTGACTTTTTTGAGCATTTTTGGAATATTTTTTGGGGGGTATTTTTAATTTTTCGCCCAAAATCCTCCTGTAGGGGGACAGGCCCGACTCAAGCGGAGGGAGAGGGGCGGCACAGCCCACGGCGATGTGCGTCGTGAGCTGGTGGCGAGGCAGATTTGGCGCATGCGCGCGCGCCGGCCTCGCCGCAGCGGCCGGCAGTCCTTCTTTTGAGGGGGGAGGTGGTCGTTGCGGTTCAAGAGGTCCTCCTCCTCCAGTTCCTCCCCCTTCTGCTCTCCTTCTCCTTTTCCCCTCCCTCTTCCGCTTTCTTCTGGCAGCAACGCCTGGGCGCGACCCGATCTCCAGGGCAGCCACCTAAGTGACTGACCACAGCACCAGGGAGCCCCGAAGAAACGAGTAGTGCCAAAAAACGAGCCTGAACACCTCCCTCTTGGAAATCTTGTAGTGCATCGTCATCGTGTCCTCTTGCTCATCAGTCTCGATGCCTGCTGGCGCCCGCCTCCGCGCAAGCCGTTCGCCCGCCCGCCCGCCACGCCCCCCGCGGGACTCGAGGCACGGCTCGACGACACGGTGCGGTTGGCTCCCTTCCTCCCTTTTCCCTCTTGCCTCCCCCTTCGAGCGCCGGCCAAGGCCAGGCCTCACCTTGCGGACTGGCGCCGCGGGCGCCCCCCCCCCTGGGCCGCCGTCTGCCCTTCTCCCTCGAGAGAGACCTGCTTCTCGCCGTTCCCGAATCGGAAGATCGCGAGCTGCTCCTCTCTCTTGATGTACTAGTCGACCCCTAGCTCCCTGCAGCGATCCTCGAGCCTCATCGCGTACGCCTCGCCAGAGACCGAGCTGTTGCAGGCCGAGTCTAGGGTGCCGTCGTCGCCTAGACTTCCGTTCGGCACTGGCGACAGCAGACCCTCCTTCTGTGGATCAGTCTGATCGATCCGCGAGGCATGTTCCTCGGTCGTGGCCTCGGTCACCATGACCTCGAACGCGTCAACCTTGAGCGTGTCATGGCTCCCGGCGCTCTCTCCAAGTTCCCGAGCTCTTGAGCCAACTCGGGGTCATTCTCGACCTCCTCCAGCACCTCCGACAGCGCCTCTAGCTCCGCGGCAAGGCTCCCTTCGATGTCCTGGTCTTGCTCGGTCGCGCGTCGGTGCAGCCTCTTGCAGAAGCAGTTCGTGACCTCACCGCGTCGGGTCGGTTCGTCAACTCCCGTCGTCGAAAGCACCCCCATCAACTTGTTGATGCCGGCCACTGGGTCCGCCAGCTTCCACTGTCCGTATCCTTCTCCGTCGTCATCTCCTCCTGGTTCGCGAGCCTCGCCTTCTTCGTCTCGGATCCACGTCTTATGGCTCGGCCCGCAACTTGACCATCGGGATTGACCCCCCTGGCGCCTCCGCCGGGCTCGTGAGGCATCGCACCATACGGGCCGCCCAGCTCCAACTCACGTTCAAATTGATGCTCTCGCTCCACATGGCATCGTCCTTCTTGTACCTCCTCCAGTGTGATCGGATATTGATTGACCCCCTACCCTGTCACGTCGATTAGCGAATTGGCCGTTTTCGGTTCGCGAGAGGGCGTCGCGGCCGTGATTTTTGCGGGTCCAGGTCCGTCGGTTTCGGTCCTAGGCCCTTTTCACTAAAGGGTGGCTTACTAAAGGGAGGTTTGTCCACCGCCGATGTGAAGCCGAGCCGTCCCACGTCGGAATACCTTCCGGGTCTCGACTCCACGGCGGCTCTGACACGCCGCTGCCGCTGGAGGCTCCTCTGCGAGGAGGCAGAGGGACTTTGGCGTCAGTGCGCCCTCCTCGGAGCCGATGACGTGCCCGCCATCGCTCCAGTGGTCGTAGTACGTGTGCACGTCCTCGTAGAAGTAGTCCTTCTGCTTGTCGCCGCCTTCGTCCACTCCGAGCTGCTGGCAGCCGCCGCTCCGTGCTGTCGCTGGCGCGCCACTGGCGCTCCGCTACCACTGCGGAATCGAGGGGTTAGAAGCTCCTCCCCCTCCAGGTCCCGCAGCGGGGGCTGTGGCGGCGAGCGTGCGGCAGCGCTAGGGAGATGGAGACTTCTTCCTCAGTCGCTCGCTCCAGTAACCAAGTTGTCTCAAACTGGCTGGAGCATCAATGGCAGCGGGCGCAAATATGGTACTTCACAAAGGCATGGAAATAACATCGTGGAGGCAAGAGGGGACAAGAGAGGGAGAGTAAACAATAAACCATGAACGTCGAGGGGAGCAGGGAACAAATTTATACGTAACCGCATTCCAACAACACCTGCGCCGCGCAACGGCTGCCCGGCCCGCCATGGGCCCCCGAGAGCCCAAAGAGGCGATAACGCCAATATCTTTCAGACACCTGCAGAGAATCAATGCCCTTGGCCTCTGGAGGCGATCTTTGGGGGCGGTCTTGGGGTCCTCCCGGGGCCCTCTGGGGGCCATCCCGGCCGCGTCGCCACCGCGGGCAGCAGCCGCCGAGCGGCAGCAGTGCCGCAGAGCCGCCCGGGGCGGTTCGGGCACTGCTGCGGGCTCCTGGCGCAGCACCGCTCTGGGGAAGCGCAACGGTACCGATGCCGCTCCCCGCGGCCCTCTCCGGGGGTGCGTCCTGACCCGGATTTCGAGGCGGATCCAGCGGTGGAGACGTGGGCCTCCCAGGAGGCCCAACAGAAAGTGGAGACCGAGGGAAGGGTAGCGGTGTGGGTACCTTTTCCTCCTCCGACGCTGGCGTCGGAAGCGCCCTTCGGGAAGCCCGTCAGAGACATGGAGCTTGTGCACCTGCCCATCTGCAGGCGCCGTCTCAGGAGTCTTAGGCGCCCAGGCACTACCTCGTGAGGTTCAACCGGGCACTACCTACTAAGGAGGCTTAGCGGAGGGTTTCTATGCACTCCTTGACGATCCTTGGCCGGCCCTTACTGGAATCATGAGAACATACCCTTACTGGAATCGTGGGGATATACCAAGCGTGTTTATATATATATATATATATATATATATACACAAACAGATGTGTGTGTATATATATATAGATATATATCTATATTTGCCTGCGTGGATGGATCCCAAGCAGTGTTTTCTAAAGTCCATGCGGTGGTGAGGGGGGGCACCCATTTGGCGGGGGCAAGCGGGGGCAACGGGGCGGCGGCGACGGACGGGAACGGGGCCGCTGGGCCCGCAGAGGGACCTCTACTGGGAAGTATGGGGCGGCAGCGGACGGGAACGGGGCCGCCAGTCCCGCAGACGAGCCCAGAAGTAAGAAACTCTTCGGGGCAAGCACTCTCAGCAGAGTTTATGTGCACGCGTTTACTCATGCACATCTGTTGATATACATTTACACATATATAACTGTTACATGTTGATGTTATATCTATATATATGCATACACATGACATTCCGGCATTTCTTCAGGCCGGATGTTCGGTAGATTTGATGCCATAGTTTGGTGAGAGGCTTCTCCTGCCACGCTGGAAGGTGTAGTGCGCTTCAAAGCGCTTCAAGTGGTCACTCCTCCTCATCTTCCCAGGGTGGGGTGGCTATGTAGGAGGACTGTCTCACCATCTCAGTGAGGAGTCCTCCATCCTGAGCCATTTGTGTTGCTTTTCTGACACGTTCTTGCGCGGGCGCCTGCGAGGTTTGGTGTGGGGGCCGCCTCGCAAACTCATCCACATGCTGCCTCAAATGCTGCACCATCGCAGCCTAGGGCTTGCAAAGTGAGTTTTCCGGACGAACCCTCGATGGGACTGCCAATTTTTCCGCTCACCATGTGTCTCTAGGCTGCTCCAGCGCTCGCCGAAGAGCTCTTGGTATTGGCGCGGCGCGAGGGCGATTTCGGCCTTCCAGCGCGCTCGTGCTGGGACTCCCGTTTCTTCGACCTAGCTCTCCTCCCGCCCCCGCTCGTGCTGGGACTCCCGTTTCTTCGACCTAGCTCTCCTCCCGCCCCAGAGAGACGGCAACGTATCCCTTGCAAACCCTACCCCCTGCCGGTGTCCGATCGACGCAATGCTGCATCGGGCGCCCACGCCGGGAGGATCCCCCTGGCCTCCGGAAGCCTTCGAATTTTTGAACCCCAGCCAGCGCTCCAGAAACCCGCCATGCAGGGGTATAATCAGAGGCCAGCAACATATGTACACGTACGCGGTGAGCTTCCCCTGGAGGGCGTTTGAACGAGGACGTTCGTGCACTCAAGATCGCGGAGGGCGTACATGTACATATGTCGTTGCTCGCTCATATAATTCGCATCTGCCCTTCCTGCATTTGGCCTCCGCCACAATGCGCTCCCCTCCCTGCTTGCACACGGCGTCGTGCTTGTCTTTTCCCCCGGCCCTCCAGCGCGAGGGCCGGCGCAGGCCCGCCCCGGGGCTCCTCTCGCGCCGTGGCCGCCCGGCATTTTTGCAGCTGCCCCTCCCCGAAGGTCAACGCCCCAGCTGGGAACTGAAAGTCCGCTTGTCCTAGGCGGCGATGCCTGGAGGGCGAAGTGGCAGGTACCTGGCTGGCCATCCCTTTCCTCCTCCTGCACACAAGCTTTCTCCCCCTACACCAGGGCCGAGCTCTGCCCTGTCTAGCAGCTCGCCAGGGTGCTGTCGAGGGCAAGGTCTCCCTCGCCTGCCCCTGGACCGGGCAGCACCGTTGCTTCTGGCCCAGCTTGGGCAACTCATCGCATGCTCTTCCACTCCATGCGATCTCTTGTCTCTTCCCACTTCCTGCCTCTCCCCTCCCTCATCTCCTCACTCACTCCCCTTCCTTCTTCCTCCTCCTCCTTCCACTTCCTTTCTTCGCCCCCGTCGTTCCAGTCGTCGCCGCCATCGTCGTTCCCCGTCGCTCCCCTCGTCGTCCCCGCCGCCCCGCGCTGTTTCCGCCGCCGCACGCGCCGCCGCCGCCGCCGTGGCCAGCCCCGTGGCCTCCGCCGCCGCCGTCGTCCGCCGCGACGCCCTCGGTGCCGCCGCCGCCGCACGCCGCCGTCGCCTCCTGGCGGCGGCGCCGCGCGAGTGGCGCCAGGCCGGCGCCGGACACGGGCGGGGGCCTCCTGGGGTCTCCCCCCCCTCGCGCGCACCACGCGGGCCGCTGCCGCAGCCACGCGGCCGCCGTCGTTGCCGCCGTGTCGTCGTCGTCGTCGTCGTCGTCGTCGTCGTCGTCGTCGCCGTCGTCGTCGTCGTCGTCGCCGTCGTCGTCGTCGTCGTCGTCGTCGTCGTCGTCGTCGTCGTCGTCGTGGTCGTGGTCGTGGTCGTGGTCGTGGTCGTGGTCGTGGTCGTGATCGTGGTCGACGACGGCGACACGGCTCGCCGAGGAGGCGGATGGAAGATGAGGAGGATGGGAAGGATGAGGAGGGAGAGGGAGCAGGAGGAGAAGGAGAAGGAACAAAAACAGGAAGAGGGAGGTAGAAGAGGGAGGGAGCGAGGGAGGGAAGGATGGACGAGGGGGGACGAGGAGCCTCCCTTCTCCTGCCTGCTCCTCATCTTGCACATGGCATCATTCCTAGCGCTGCGGAACTTGCACTCTCTGCAGCGGTGTTTGCGCCGACATGTTTCAAGCGTGCCAGGCCGATGGGCTCGCGATTCCAACGGCTTCGTCCAGGGCGATCTATTCAGCGCGAAGCGCGCTCCGAGCACCCTGAATCAAAGAAGAGCGTTTTGCCCCGAGCGGCGTCAACTGCGAAGAATTGCCACGACACGCCACTGACGAAGGGCGGTCTTTGGCCAGTTTTGGCCTTCAGGGGCCCCATAGGACCCCCAAACCGTAAAACAACAATACAGGATGAGATCGTTGCGCGATGTCCGACCCCGAAGCAATCAAACCTCAGAGTCGGTTTCGGAGGTCGCCGCGGCGATCGCGGCGGCCACACATCGGGGCAAGGCTTTTGTCAAGGAGTGGCATGCCCCTTCCCACCCCCAACCCGCTCTGCGATGTAGACGTTGCCCATGATCAACAATCTAGCGACACAGAGTCGCCAACTTATGTCCAACACGAGCAGTCGTGTTTCTGGTAGGGGTTCAGGGCCAGCAGTCACGCAATCACGGCCTCGGATGGTCTGGGAGGGCGGCGACGCTGCTGGCGGCCCCCCCCCGCGGGCGCCCTGCCCTCGCCTCAGTCCCGCGGCGGCTGCAGCTGGTCTCGCTCGCTCGCTCGCTTCGGGGGCCGCCCAAGAGGGCCCCAGGCGCCCCAAGACGGTCCGAGAGGCCCCTCACGAGAGCCCCAAGACCCAAGCGGGTCCCAAGACAGCCCACGAGGGGTAGGCCCATGAGGGGGACGCGAACCAGCATTTTGAGCCTCCCGCCCCAGGATAACATCCGCCGAGATCGCCAAGAGGCCTGTCAGAAACCCCAGGAAACCACAAAGAGGCCCAAAAGAGGCCCCTAGAGGCCCTCGAGAGACTCCACAGAGGCACCCCAGAGGCCAAGAGGGGGGTGATGACTGGGGGTGGGGGGGTGAATCTAATGGCTGGGGCGATGATACCTCCCCAACTTTCATGGACCTTTTTTCGCCTTTCAAAGCGTCCCCTGGCTCCCCCTCGTCCGCGCACATGCCTCCGACCATAAAACGCCACCCCCCTCTTGGACGCTCCCCTCTTGGACGCCCCCGATCGTTCGCCCCCAATTGCAGCATTTCGAAAACTCACGACTGGAGCATTTTTCGAGCCTGGTCGATCTGTGAGGGTCCCGGGGCCTGAAACCGGGCGACAATGCCCAGCTCGAAAAAATTGAGACGCCAGGATCTTTTGGTACCTCGCCCTTGCTTTCGCCCTCACCATTCTCTACACCGTCCTTGCTTCTGTCCTCCTCGCCTGGCCCGCTCCTAGCGCGGCGGAGTTCCCGTTTCGGCGATTACAGTCGGTGTGGTTTCGCCAGGGTGTGGTTCGCGATCTGCGTCGTTGGGGCTGGGGGAACACTACGTTGCGCCAAAGGCTTGATGATCCTTCCTCGGGGCGCAGTGGAGAACTCTGTCGATGTCCTGGCCTTGGAGCCAGCTGGGGGTCTGAGGTGGCCTAGCGCTGGTTCCAGCCAGCAAGGAGTGTGGGGGGAGGTTCGAGGTTCTGGGTTCGAGAATGTTTTTTTTCTTTTTGGTATCCAGGGGCAGTTTTCGTTCCCCTGGACCGTCGCAAACGGATCTTGGGCGAACAACTGCACCAGACGGACCCCAGGAGGGGTCCAGGTGCCAATTTTTTTAGCAGATCTGGCCTGATCCCCCTGTCTTGACCGATCCTCTCGGGGCCGATCCCGCTCAGACCCCCTGGCCGCTTCCAGTCCTGGCAGCGAGCTGCAGGCCAGACCCTTTGCTGGCACAGCACTCTTCGGAGCCGCGCCCGCTGTGCCGCCAGGTCGGCGCCGGGCACGGCGGGCGGCGCGAGGTCCGCGCCGGCCAGTGCGGGCGGCAGGGCCACGCCGGGCACAGCGGGCGGATCGCGGTCGGCGCCGGGCACGGCTGGCAGTGCCAGGTCCGCTGATCGTTGTCGTCGTCGTCGTCGGTGGTTGTCGTCATTTTCGTCGTCGTCGTCGTCGTCGTCGTTGTTCGCGGCGGCGGCGGCGGTTGTCTTCATCTTCCTCGTCGTCGTCGTCGGCGTCGTCGTCGTCGTCGTCGGCGGTGTCGGCGGTGTCGGTTTGCGTCTTCGGTTGTCCTCGTCCTCGTCGTCGTCGTTGTCGTCGTCGTTGGCGTCGGTGGTCGTCGGTCGTTGTCGTCGTTGGCTGTTGTCGGTCGTCGTCGTCGCAGTCGTCATCGCCATCGTCGTCTTCGTCGCCACTGTGCCTGTCGTCGTCGTGGGCGTCGGAGTCGGCGTCGGCGTCGTCGCTTGCTGGCGCGAAGTTGGGGAAAGCGTGGACCAAGCAGTGGATCGGCGCCACAGGAATGGACACGCGAAGAACGAGACGAATACCATCACCAATCCCTGCCCATTTCGAGCAGGGCTCGCTGTCGGTGTCTTGGCGGACGGTACTCCATTTGGGACAGGCGTCGCCTGCCGAACAGCGGTCAGTTTTGGTTTCGGACAACATTAGCTGTTGGGTATCGTTCCTGGTTTTTACGTTTGCATGTTTGTATGACCGTGGTTAAACACATATTGGCCTTGAACTGCCAGAAATTATTGCAGACCCAGTGCCATTTTGAATGCATAAGCCACAGCCTCGGACGAAGTGATCCAGGCTTTGGCTCAGTCGTTGTTTGTTCGCGTGCCTCTGTCGCAGAAGCAATATCATCGGATTTCAGAGGTGACGCGCGATTCCGCGCCCAACAGGAGACGCTCGTCGCCGCAGCGCGGGTTTCATCCAGAGGAACGAACGACGGCAGCACGCCGGGCACTTGGGGGACTGGACGGACCCTGGTAGGCATTATCCGACAACACCTCAGTTGGACGGGGTAGAGGAATACTGCACAGTGGAAATGGTACCACCACGGGATCGACGAGACGATCTCCCTGGACAGCACGGATGAACACTGGCACTCGCCCAAGGTCTTGGGCTACATTCTAGGGGAAACGTGGCGGCATCACAGCTGGTTGGGCACGACGCGGAACGACGCGCAGGCGTGCCGGACTGCCCACTACGACGCGACGCGGCTCAAGGCCGTCATCGCCAGTGCGCAGGAACACCCGTCTACTTTGGCGGTGCTCACCCGAGGCTTTTGTGTCACCTGCCGCCTTCGAGCGGGACCAAGGGAACGACGCTTTGATGGAATGCCCGTGGTGTGCAGGCGCCGTGTCTACGACGGACCACGTGGTGTGGGAGTGTCAAAGAGAGGTGTTCCGGGACCGTCCTTGCGCCCGTCCCAAGGGCGCTCTTCAGAGACGCCTGGGCTGGCCCACGGGCGACGTGCGACAGAAGGAGGTGGACCTGCGGTTGCCGTTGTGGGCGGCAGATGTCAGGACCACAGTATTGGATCACAGATGCGGTGGGGGTTGTCGCAGGTACTAATTTACTGACGGGGACCTCTAGCCGCTGTTTTGTTTCACAGGTGCGGTGGTGCTCCTCGCGAGTATTTCTGCGCCGACGGAAACCTCTTGCCGCTACTTTGTTTCACAGGTACGGTGGTGTTCGTCGTGGGAATTCTTCCGACCACAATGTTGGTTAACAGGTGCGGTGCTGACCGGGACCTCTCACCGCAGTTTGCGATCGTCGGAGGCATTCTTGCGCCGGCGGGGACCTCTCACCGCAAGCGTGAATCACGCATGTGATGGTGTTTTTTCACGAGTATTTTTGCGCTTTCGGGGGTCTGTCGCCAGTGTTGGTGTTCGTCTCGGGTAATCTTGTGCTGTCGGGGGCCTCGTACCGTTATGCTATGTAGATTCGCAGGTACGGTGATACTCTTCACATGTATTTTTCCTTACCTAGGCTCTGCCTAGAAGGGTTCTTACTGTCTTGGCTTAAAGGGGCCAGCCAGTGCTGAACGCCCTGGGTGGTTCCCCGAGGATCCGCCCCGCGGTTCCCCCAGTTACGTCCTGTTAGCTTAGCGTTGCTTATCTCATCTTAGCTTAGCTTATTTCATCTTAGCTTAGCTTAGCTTCATCTTAGCTCAGGTTTAGCTTAGCTTAGCATAGCATATCATAGCGCAGCATAGCATAGCATAGCACAGCATAACATATCATAGCATCGCATAGCGCAGCTTAGCATGTCATAGTATATCATATCATAGCATATCTTAGCATAACACAGCGCATCATGACATATAACATCATAGCTTGGCACAACATAGCCTAGCATAGCATAGCGCATCACATCATAACATATCATATCATAGCATAGCGCAGCATAGCATGGCATAACATAGCATAGCATATCATAGCATAGCAACTAATGCTGCTTTCCTAGGGGCTCCAACTTTTAGGTCGGGTCGCACTGGGGTAATATTGTTCTGAGGGGACCTCTCCGCGTGCTCTGGCGCGTTGGCTGGGTGGGGGGCGATCGGCGGCAAGCAATGCAATCCCATCGCTTCTTGGTCGAATCTACTTTCGCTGTCAAAGTGGGGAAAGCAACCGAGCATAGTAAGAACCGGTTCGACACGAACAGCCTGAGCAAGAACCCGATTGTGAAATGCGCGTTCTGCAATCGATTCGAGATGCTGGCCAGGGAGGAACCGCCTGTCTAGAAGACACGGTGGATCGTTTCCAAGCGGTTGTTGCTGCAGCTGTCACGGACACAATGCCGCCAGTGGGGCTGGCCGCGAGCAGGCCTTGGATCAGCGAAGCCGTTTTTGGATCTAGTTGAGAAGAGAAGAGCTGCCCGCGCAAGGGGGGCAGACCCCTGGAGTTGTCGCTCAACAAGCTCGTCCGGACCAGCGCAGAAAAAGACAAGAAAATGGCTAGGCGATCTGGTCGAAGACGGCTCGTCGACATCAGTGCGAAAGCTCCGCTGGCCAAGGCCACCGCCAAGAAGGAAAGTGTGCAACAAAGACGGCTTACTGGTGGAGTCGTGTGACCAGGCAGAGATTTTTGTTGAGCATTTGGAGAAGATGCAATGGGCCGTGCGCCCGCTGACGGCAGCAAGTGCGCATGCACCTGTCGACGAAGAGTTGCCCGCGTGTGAGGGGCCGAGCACAGCGGAAGAGACCCAATCGGCAATGCGCAAACTGAAGGGCGGAAGATCAGCCGTCCAGGTGCCAGCAGAAACATTGAAAACATTCATGGGGCATGTTGACAATGCCGGTGCGCATTGGCTCACGGCCGTCAGGCAGGAACGTTGGGGGGCCAGAACCGCCTCGCTGAGTTGGCATTCGGTCAAAGTGAGAGAGATATTTAAGAAGGGCAGCCCAACACATTGCGAGAACTACAGACCAACATCTCTTGTCAGCGTCCTATACAAAGTCTATGCGATGATCTTGCTGGCGCGATTGAAAGCCGCCGGGGTGGAAAGCTGACCGTGGAACCCGCAGTTCGGATTGTGGCGGGATTTCTCGACCCAATATGTCCTGTTCCAGCGCAGAAGATCGAGCAGGCGTGGGCCGCAAAGGACGGCAAAGTACTCCTATTCGCATTGGATTGGAAGAAGGCCTTTGACAGTGTTGCGCCCGAGCGTTTGCTGGCGGCTTTCAGACTTTTCGGAGTAAAGGACAGCGTGGTTTTCGCGGTGGCGGAGATCCACAGCCAACGCTTGCTCGTAGTCGTGGAGGACGGCGTCGAGTCGTGTCCTCGACAGAAACGAGCGGGCATCAGTCAATGCTGCCCATTATCTCCGCTTCTGTTTGGCATTGTCATGGCCATGCTGTTGAGAGACTCGTCCAGCCGTCTGGGCAGGGCAGCCACGTCGACGCACGACCAGGGGCATCTCTCGGATCGCTGTAAGCAAATGACAGTCTGCTGATCAGCTCTTCGGCAGAGCATATCGAAGAGTTCATGGGCGCAGTAAGCGTGGCCAGTGCGGCCTGCAGATGCACTGGAGGAAGCTTCAGCTCACGAAGATTTGCGCGGACATGAACGTCACCAGTCTGGCAGGGGACAGACTGGAGGCCAAGGACACACTGGTGTATTTGGATGCCGCGGGGTACAGCGATGGCCGTGCTACTTCTGAGATGGGCAGAAATATTGGCGCCGCCTTTGCAGATCTCAGATCGCTCTGCACTGTCTGGAAGAACGCGACGATCAGCCTGGCTCGGAATATCGAGTTGTTCCACAGCATCATCGGGTCGAAGCTGAAATATGCTGCGGCGTCCATGTGGTTCATGGAGACCGACATGCGCCAGTTGGACGGATTCCTTTGCCGATGCCTACGGAAGATGCATTCGCGTGCTTCCAGCGTTCTTCTGACGAGAAAGCAACGACGAAGTTTTGAGAAGAGCGAAGTGTCAGAGGTTATCGGCGATCACCACGGACTCGCACTTGAACCTGTTAGGCCAGGTGATCAGAGACCCCGCGAAAACAGAATTGAGGAAGGTCGCTTTCCATGGCGCCGTTGCCGCCCCTGAGGTCGCAGTATGGGTGCGACGCCGCGGCAGGCCTCGACAGTATAACAGTTGTGTGCAATGCTGTGACAGAAAGCTGGGGGATGCGCGGGGTGGGACAGAGTTGCCGCGCCACCGACTGAATGGAAGCAGCGCGTGAGTAGACTGGTGGCCCGCGTATAGCCAATGCGCTGCGCAGTGCACGGTCGAGTAGTAGTGGTGGTGGTGGTGGTGGTGGTGGTGGTGGTGGTGGTGGTGGTGGTGGTGGTAGTAGTAGTAGTAGTAATCGTAGTAGTCGTAGTAGTAATAGTAGTCGTAGTA